GTCTTTTACGACGTGTTAATGACGCAGTTAATAGCGACGCAATTAATAAGGAACATAAAGATCAGATAAGGTAAAACTCGCTACACAGGAAATACTAAGGGTGAGATGGAGGTAAAACTCGGTGCACAGGTGAAGTGAGGTAAAACCCTTGGTAAACAGGAAATTAATAAGGTGCGGTAAAAGAACTCAATGAAACACAGCTGATACAATGTAGACAGCACAATACTGCTGTTTCCACATAAGTCGTTTTAAGCAAGACACTGTTCAGTGGTGGACGGCCCGATTTCCAGTAATGGTATTCAGTATGTCAGAAATACGCAATTATCATGTGGTTCAATTATGAGTAGTCTTTTCTGACAAATTTTTCGAAAAAAAACTTCACGTTTTTCCCTTCTGTTTCACGATACAACTTTTTTTTTTCGTCCATCCCAGTTGTGAGCAGTTCTTTCTGACAAGTTTTTCCAAGAAAAACCTCACGTTTTGCCGCCCAGCTTCACGTCGCAGCTTTTTTTTTTGAACTGTGAATGAATTTTACAGGCACATAAGCGAGCGTATGAGCAGCCAGGTATGGCCGATTATCAGATGATGAAGCGTCGTGTGCCTGCAGGCCTAGAGCAGCTGGGACTACCACCACAGCGTCTCCTGAATATGTCGGCAGCACAAGCTTCGATTCTGAACGGCGCTGCTCAAGGATGTACCGGTGCACCACCGGGACCCACAGCTTTGTACACGGATCAACAGATCAGGTTGCTATCCGCGCAGTCATCAGTAGCTGCTGCAACCTCACAGCAACTGCTCATGGCGCATCATCAACAACAACAACAGCAGCAGGAGCAGCAGCAGCATCAGCATCCTGGAGCAGCTCCAGTCCCGATGACCTCAATGACCTCTTCTGTGGCGGCAGCATCAAGTGCTGCTACTGAAACAACCGTAGTAGCCAGCACGGCACCTTTGACAACTGCAACCATACACAACAGCTTGCCGCAACCGCACGTGCAACAATCGCAGCATCTCTCACCACTTTCGCTGCACTCCTCACAAACGGGTGTCCGACCGGTTCCAGGTGCAGCAGCCCCGCATTTCATGCCTGCCCCGCCAATGCTACAACAGCACCAGCAGCAACCTCCACTGGTACCACCACATCCATACCTTCTGACCGCAGCAGGCACTGGTGCTGGTCACCCGTATATCCCGCATTATATCGAAGAAACAATTGCTGCGCCACAATCGGATCCGTTCACGCCGCCAAGTTATGCGCCCGAAATGAAAAATGTCGTTGTCCTGCAACCACTATAAGCCTTTTTTTTTAA